ACTTTCTTACCTGCAAATATATGCAGAGACCAGAGAACTACGGCACTGGAACATGGAGATAAGGATTTCGATAACATGCTTTCCCAAGTTCAGTATTATCTTAATGTTTCATCATGGATATCAATTTTATTTATATTTTTTTTTTTGCGTTGGTCAACAAATTAGCTCGTTTTCAAGAACTGAGGGTGAACGGGATTCGCGACCCCATAACAAACCGAAACACAATATTATGGCATTTAGGCCCACTGCTGGGCAACGACCGCGAGCTAAGCAGATATGCAACAGCCGTCACTAAGTAACGGCTCCGCAAACAGGCATGCTTCCAAGGTAACTGGATACAATAAGAGTAAGGGTGTTTTTTCTCTATGCGGTCCGTGCCAAGATGTTATAAGCAAGACAAGCCGTTACCAGAAGACTGGTGAAGACACAGCAGACTGAGAAGACTTGAGTGTGTGCTCTAGTGAACTGTGAAGCGTGTGAATTGGTGAAAAGGTTATAACTGCTTGTAGTCAAGGATGTGTAAAGAGTTCAATAAATCCAATTAACAATCCAAACCCCGTATATATTCCCTCCATCATGTGACAAATGGAGTCAGAAATTGTCACATGACAGAGTGACTACAGACGGAATTTGAATTGGTAATTGGATTTACTGAACTCCTATAGATCCGTGACTACAAGAAATTATAACCGTTGCACTAATTCACACGCTTTATAATTCACTATAGCGCACACACACTCAAGTCTTCTTAGCTTCCTGTGTCTTCACCAGACTTCTGTTAACTGTTTCTAACGGCGGACGTTACCCTTCCTCCGGGTTCCCGAACTGTCCTGACCCCAACCGCATCAACTCTCGACGCACTGACTGACTGACTGACTGGACCTCAAGAGTAGTTACTGGCAGATGGATATGCATCCAGACGACAGGGAGAAGACTGCGTTCTCGACGGGTCAGGGGCTATGACACTTCACGGCCATGCCTCTTGGCCTCTGCAACGCTTCATCGACGTTTTAGCGGTTAATGGAGACCGTCTTCAAGAGCCCTCACTTACGAGTCATGCCTCGCGTACCTGTACAGCGTGATCGTGATCTCTCCAATCCTCATGGGAGGGCCCGTAGAAGGTAGTCACCCGGATAAATGATGTGGTATACAAGATCCAGAGAATCCCTAGATCGAGGTTCATAGTGGTACACCTGGACCGGCTCGCACCTTATCAGGGAACCAATTGGGACGTTCGGCCTTAAGGAGGGAGCAGTTGGAGAGTAATCACGGTGAGAACCGAGCCACGGGGAAGGAAGGCGAGACCAATAACAGACGTCACAAGCACAACTCTCAGTAAAGAAGAAACGTCAGCACGCCTGTAGACTATTCGGGACGTACAGCCTTAAGAAGGGAACAATGTGGCGTATAGACCCGTTGCTGCGCAACGACCGCGAGATAAGCAAATATACAGCAGCTTCCACAAAATAACGGCTCGCCAAATAAGCATGTTTCCGCGACAACAATTGGATACAATAAGAGTAGCGATGTTATCTATGCGATCCGTGCCGAGATGTTACAAGCAGGAAAAGGCTAGTTTGTCGAGATACACTGTGTGGAGGTTGGTTCGAATACCTCCACCGTCGCCCTAGGAGTTGTAGGAGACGAGGAGAATAGAACCCAGTGCCTGGGGTACATCTGGGCCACCCTGTTCCTGGGAGACATAAATACGGGAACCTGGTCTTCCAGGCTGGGGGAGTCTCCAATCTGAGACAGTAAACTATGGTCATAAGTCATGCTGGACTAGGATCCCAGAATGACTGAACTGGAGAGGCCCAGCAGAAACTGCAAACGATAGTCCTATCCTCTAGGCAGAGAGGATGTTACATAAGGACTACAACCGCAAGTGCTCAGCTGAAAATAAAATTCTGGTAGTGGGTCTCAAGGTGCTTGGCGCCTTGACGAACTGACTGGCGGTAAACCGCCAGTCGTAAAGTAACTCTGCCTCTGAGGTAGTTTGTCGCGACTTACTGCAGCTGAGGACGGTGACAGTTCGGGAACCAAGAGAAAGGGAAACGTCCGCCGTTGGAAGCCTTACAAGAAGACTGGTTAAAGCACAACAGGCTGAGACCACTTCAGTGTGAGCTCTAGCATCTGTAAAGTGTGTGTGAATTAGTGAAACGGTTATAATTACTTGGAGTCATGGAGCTGTAAAAGTTCAGTGAATGAAATTACCAATCCAAAACCCGTATATATTCACTCAATCACGTGAAAATATAGAGCTCACAATATGCAAGGTACCTCTGCCCGTTATGAAAGGGCAACTCGGCATACATTTAAATTTACGTAACACTACAGAATTGGGAGCCCAGCATAGGCCTTCTGGTGACTCAAGGTACACAGGTCCTAGGTCCTCGTCTATGTCCTCAAACCATTGGACTGAATCCAACCGTCAGTTATCAGGTCTACAACAGCACAGCTGTATTATTAATATATACGTGTATGTATAACATTAACATTATGATTTGTTATACATTTTACCGTGTATGTGTACGCGAGCCATCTCAAGCTATTTTCAGCGAGGTCTCAAGTAGTATTTGTGATACATAAACCGCCTACTGTCCAAAACGGGGTTCCCATTCTATTTTCTATCACAGACGTCTTAGTTCGTGCACTCTCATCGAAACACCCGAATATTAATAATGTTATATTTTAGCGTCCTGTTGCACTGATTTAAGTCCATGATTTATTTCTTCCGTCTTCCAGTATATACACTCATCTATCCCCTCTTCTCACTCGCACTACATGTTTCGGCACAAAAGTGCCATCTTCAGGTACTGATTCAATCTACGCCAAACTATGTAAGATTTGNCCGTTCTCACGGTCTTGTCGCTTGCAGATTTCTTATACTTTTTTTTTCTTCTACCCTGAAGATGGAGGCGATACGTTCCTCCGAAACGTCGGTTAACACCACTTATACACGGTGCCAAATCCCAGAAGACTGCTTTCTTCTACGCCAAACTAGTTCACTGCATGCCCGAATATTAAACGAAATATTTAAATAATTCGTAATTGACTGAGAGTGACATTTCATCAATAGTTACAAACCCGTCATTTTTTAAACGTAAAATAATATAAGGAATTTGACATGCAAATCACGCGCTTATTCGTGCATAAACAGAATACCTTAACCTTGAAGACTGAAGCGGGCCACTTCGATTCTTTCGCAAATCACGATGTGGGAAACTCTAGTTTAAAAATTTTGTAACAATGAGCACTCCATTATGAGAATATTGTTGGAAAATTCCAACTGACTGGGTATATGACTATGCAACACACATAACGTTTCTGGAACGGCTGTTTTCGTCAAGAGGTATAAGGAGAGAAATGGTTCTGCTGTATTTGTGAGCTGAGACCGTTAGAATGAGATCCTTTGTGCTGGGGCGAGTTATTGAGGCTCGCTCTTTCTAACAGGCCCCACTTAATAGGATCGTCTGCGCCCTTATATGAGGAAAAAAATTCCCACATCAATCGTCTGCAAATTTTGCGTATGTCTTCACAGAGTTCAAGATCTTCCAACGCCCGACTTTTCCGTCGTAAGAAAGTGCAAGGTTTCGTGAAAGTAAATGTCTTTTCTGTTCTTAAGATGATTAGATAAAGGCTTGAGTCACTGGCTAATCCACTAAACTGCTGGAACTGTCCACTGTCTGAAGTATATGATAGATTTCCACAGTTGCTTCTATTTTCAGATGATTTTCTACACCATCAAATGGCCCAGGAATAATTTCCCTTGGGTTGCATGCTCGTCTAGTAATTAGCATAATAGCCTAATATTCTAAAGCAGCCGTGTCAAACATGCGGCCCCTCAACTTTTAGAGCTAACTGATATTAAAATCAATATTAAAATTTTAATAGAAATATTTTTTGTAAAGACAATTTTCCAACAGACCAGAAGACAAGAAGTCTCACGCAGACATAAATTAGCAGGCTGCAGGAAATTCAGTGTTCTGCTATTTCTAACATAATTTCTTGTCTAATCTCTATTTTTACATATTGAAAAGCTGTTTGATACTTGTCAAAAATGGCATTTTCTTGCTTTTTAAAACTGTAAGATATGTGACTTTAGGTAATTATATTGAAATTATTCCTAAATAATAAATAGATTTAAATTTCCTTGTATCAAAATCTAATGTATATTTCTATTTTGAAGTGCGGCCCTGGACTATTATTTATAGGGCTGAGGTGGCCCTCTGTACAAGTTGAGTTTGACATGCCTGTTCTAAAGGTTTAGGGTTCAATTCAAAATGCCGTAACTAATACTAAATTAAGAACAAGTACGAACAAACCTGTTAGTACGTACTATGACTACCGACCACCTGAAGACGGGAACAGAGCTAAGTACCAAACTGTCATGTGAATCAAAATATATGCGAGATAATGGTCAATGTCCAACATATCAGTATCTGTATAATTAATCCAGCTAGGTCCAATTATTTTCTACACATCTGGTTCAAAATATTTATGTTCTTCCCGGAAAGGCGGCAATCACGTACTATACAGAAGATAATAGAAAACAACTGGCAAGGCCACTGCTTTATGTATCTTGATGCTCTGTTGTTCCAAAAAGAGACGTGAGACAACAGTTTCTGAACTACATGACAAACATATCGACGCTAAAATGCTAAATAAAGGTTAAGCTGTCCCTGTGCTTAACTAATTAAGCACCACGCCATTAAAGCGTATGGGGGAGTGGATGTACAGATCCACATTTTCTTCACCTCGGCACTAGCTGGAGGTAAGTGGTCAGCTTCACGCCATGGCCGTTTTACCCCCCAGGAAAGAGCCCCCCGTACCCATTGAAGAGGAGGTTGGGTGGACCCCACAGCCGGTCTGAACGACATGGAGTAGAGAAAATTCTTGACCCTACCGGGATTCGAACTCCGACCCCTTGGCCATCCAGCCCATAGCTAGTCGCTATACCGACTACGTTATCCTGGCTCCTTAAAATGCTCAGTACTTACTTTTTCTCCTGCCTTCAGAGACGGTATAGGTCAGGTCACTGAAGCCGATGTCCACAGGCTGCCTCTTCGGAAGGTGCGTCAGCTGTCTGGGCTGGCACGGAGTGATGGTCACCTTCACCGACCCCTTCCTGTCACCAACAAGACCACTGTAAGAGTCATCCTCAACACTAGCACCTTCCAGCTTCATGCTTTCTTCAACTATGTCTAAAACTCGCAATGTAACCACACGCCTCGAAGTCTGGCCGCTCACTGAAACGTCACAATCGGTCACAATACATACAAAACCACAGATCAACTACATACACAACCTTGTGAATAATATGTCTACGCATGCGCAACAGCGAACTAACCTTCGCTCTGTTTGAACTATGCACTGTAGACTTAACCACGGTGAATTATTTCATGGGATAAGATTCATAGCCAATTAAACACAGCTGAGCTCATAGATATAAGAGATCTTTAAGAGATAAGAGATAAGAGATCTTTATCGGTGTATTAATTGTAACTAATCCGCTTATTTTGTGAGATATACTGGCTTATACCATCACTTTCGTCAAACTACCTAAACAACTTACAAAGGCAAAACAACTCCGTCCAGTGTGACTATTGAAGTTTTTACTACTTGAAAATTTAACACCCTTACATGTTTCGGTCCCTATAGACCATCATCAGAGGGACATCGATACTTTTTGGAAACTACTATCATAATAGGTGTTTTGAGTGTTAAAACACATATACATACACTGTTTGTAGTGCACAATATATACAAAATCCAACTTTTCCAAAACTACAGCAGCTTTCTTGGTATATTAAAAGTTTTTAGAACTTTGTTATTTGAGTTAAAATTTATAAACCAAGTAGCTTCGTGTCCCTTCTCCTATCGTCTTCCTTGATGGGGGCTGAACTTGTGCCGACGATAGGAGAAGGGACACGAACCTATTTAGTTTCTAAATTTTAACTCAAATAACAAAGTTCTAAAAACTTTTAATATATCAAGAAGGCTGCTGTAGTTTTGGAAAAGTTGGATTTTGTATATATTGTGCACTACAAACAGTGTATGTATGTATTTTAACACTCAAAACACCCAATGTGATAGTAGTTTCCAAAAAGTATCGATGTCCCTTCTGATGATGGTCTATAGGGACCGAAACATGTAAGGGTGTTAAGTTTTCAAATAGTAAAAACTTCAATAGTCACACTGGACGGAGTTGCTTTGTCTTTGTAATTTGTTAGTGTGAGGGACCAGAATGAAACAAATCAAATTTACCTAAACAACAATTGAATCAGATTACAAAGGTTCATTATAACTGACATGAAGTCCATTCCATTGAAAGCTACCCCACCCTTGTACTTCTCATTTCCTAACAATCGATATCAAAACAGGGGACACACGAATTTCTGAAGTGCAAGTGACAATGACCACCATTTAATACAGGGTCTTGAGGTGAATGGAACATTTTTAATAGTTTGCATCTCTTGTATTTAACCTCAGTAAAACAAAAACAAAACCTTCCGAGGCATCGACCCAACACGACAGAGCAAAAAATCACCTCTGAATAAAGCAATTACCTGAAATGAAGTTCAAAACAATTAACCCTTTAAGGCCCAGGTCAGAAGGAAGAAGTTGGATTTCATGGATCGATGCTTCTATGAACACTGTAGATATGCAGATATAAAAAGAACGATCTTATTTTCATATTCTCTTTCTCTTCCTTCTTTCTTTACTCTTCCTCCATCATATCCTACTGTCTCTCTTCTCTTTAAATGTCTTCACGGTTACAACTGTGAAAGAGTCAGAAACGAACCTACGAACAACGGACAATTTGGATCGCTGTAATGTCTGCTATTGGACTCTGAACACACAGATAGATCAGTGGGCATTCTTTCATCCAGTTCAATCTACTACAATCACCTGCTTTATAGGGCAGCGCTATTGCTCGGGCGGTTGGTCGCTGGCTTTCCAACGCGGCGGCCCGGCTCCGAGCCGGGGTCTGGTCATGTGGGATTTGTGGTGGACAGAGTGGCGCTAGGACAGGTTTTCTCCGAGTACTTCGGTTTCCCTTGCCAATCTTCATTCCACCAATTGCTCCACAGTCACCATCATCTATAGTCTGGGGCAAGTACAAGAGGTCAGTAATGCCCGCAGTTCCGTCTCACCCGTTTCATGTTATTCTTCAACCACGCCCCTCGACAACTCGTCCACTGACTGATCGCCCAGCTGTCGACACTCGTCCATCTGGCAAGCCATCTACCATGACATCGATGAGTCGCGATTGTTACATACACATTATTTAACAACACTGAAAATACATCCTGATAATATGTTTCTTAGTGTGTGTGTGTGTGTGTGTGTGTGTGAAAGTGAGAGAGAGACAGAGAGAGCGACAGAAAGACAAAGTGTGGTTATCCCCGAACAAATGGTGATTCTGAATCAGAGGCGCACGTTTTCTGCGCATTATTCGAATACATAAACATTCTATGCACAATTTACTAATACTGAAATGACAAATATTACTAAAAGAAGAAGGGCGTACGCCTACTGTACCGCACAATACAATCAGTTTAAGTAGCAGAAAGAATTTTCTGATACATTTTGTTAAAGGCCTCACACAATTCCCTTGATTTTTATGGTGATATTATGTTCGATATATGCGATTTCACACTTTGCGTCTTCTCTTCGGGACATAAGTCACATAAAGCGAGGGGTACCTGTCCTGCACAGGTTAACTTTGTTGTGGTGCGGTTTATAATCGCCAACTTCATAAAACACAGACCTGCAACATTAGTTTTGGAGCGATACTATTCTTGGCCAAAGAGAAATTAAAATTATACCACACTGATGGAAAGATGCATGGCATTTCTGTCCTAACTTATACCTTTACACGAGCGTTACAAGCATTCGCTATTGTCTTGGTTAACCTTTGGAGTCAGAACTTGAAAGTTCCTTATAAGAAAATATGTATTTTGTAACTTGCGTTCCATACTCTGAATTGGAACCGTTCTGCAGAAAGCGTGACGCTGCAACTGAACTCAAATCCGCGTCATCTGTCCAGGATTTCAAAATTTTACAATCAAAAGACAGTATCGAAACATGACACGACTTCATACACAACCTGCGGTGTCACAATGCATATTTCACGTCTAACATTATAATAATTTACAGCAACAAAATGTTCCGCGAAGTCGCCATGTTGGGCATTTTCTACTTATTCTTAAGCACTGATCCAATAAAACTTGATATGAAGTGTGACTTTTATCCCAGAAGTTCCAACGGTCGCCATGTGGATACTGCAGATGTCAGCGAGTTCGATACCGAGATGAGGACTCGTGTGGTTGATTCATCTCAGTCCAGCCAATACAGAAACGTGCAGTTCAGTAAAAATTAGTCATATAGTTATTTGCAAATAAGTAATTCGCCAGTCAGCAAAGTACATCTAGGGAGTAATGAGTAGGGAGTATCTAAAGTGTATAAAGACGGAAAGACCTAGAAAAGCAGGCTGTTAAATTAAATGTCTTAAAAGTCGACCAACTGATATCTACAATACAAGCGTCGGAGGCAAACAAGGGTCGACAAACGAATAAACATGCATACCGCTAAGTGCTAAAAGGTTCCGATAACGCAACTCACTACCTCTGGGGGGTGGGGTTAGAGAACATTATTGAAATGTATTTTGAATTTAGATGGTTTGGGTGTGACCGCCTCTGTGGTCTAGTGGTCAGTGTTCCTGACTACAGATCCAGAGGTTCCGGGTCCGATTCCCGGCGCTACCAGATTTTCTGAGAAGTAGTGGGTCTGGAACGGGGTCCGCTCAGCCTCATGAGGATAACTGAGGAGCTATTTGAAGGCAATAGCGGATCCGGTCTAGGAAACCGATATTAACGGCTGTGGAGAACCGTTGCGCTGACCACGTGACACCCTCTATTCGCTAAAGTTGGTACTAACTTCGCCGACAAGCGGAGGTCGCTTGGTTGCTATAATTAGCTTGCGGACTACAGGCTACGGAGTTTGATTTTTTTATGGTGGGGATGTGAAAGTGATGGAACGAGGTAAGGACAAGATATGGCTGCAGGCTCTATGATGACAACGAGGAATCTCTCAGTTGCACAGCTGTCAGTACTCAGCATAACGTGGTCGCGGATCTCCGGCTGCAGGCTCTATGATGACAACGAGGAACCCCTCAGTTGCACAGCTGTCAGTACTCAGTATAACGTGGTCGCGGATATCCGGCTGCGGTTATCATGTTTCAAATTAGCAGCCTCCTGCAAAGGGAGCAGAAGTGTACACGCTCTCTGACTTAGCATGAGATGGACACCACTGTATCTGGGCTTCCGACTCACCTGGTCGACTTCCATATTAACATGGGTGGCGTTCCCTAACGCATTTCAACATCAGGCAGGTTCTATGCCTTCTGGCGGATACTCGTATAATTTGATCTCATTCTTAGTAAGGATTTTTAATACCACAGCCCTTCATTAAGAAGAGTTTTTTATTTATAGACTTTTATAACACCTGATAATATGATAGAAACAAATCAATTAACTGCGCAGACGGTTATTAAAACAGTTCTACTAACACACGGCAGGATACAGAAACTAACATGAAGTTCTGGGAAGAACTAATTGCCTATTCACGACTGAAAATCACGTGTCCAACAATTCTTCTATTGTTGCTTGTGTATTCGTTGCAGCTGGAACAGTAGCTCAAATTTGGTTACGTCCGCATCCTTTTCAATCCATTATTCACTAACTATCCTACAATTCAATGCTGTATATAGTCTGGGCCATTAACGTATTAAAAACAAAGATAAAATAAATAAAACGCCTCCGTTTATAGTCGACCTTCACTGTCCAGCAGCTAACCGAAAACAGTGCGTCAGTGAACTGGAGAACCTACTTATACTGGAAAAACGTCATCATCAAATATGAATTGCAAACATACAAATAATGATTACTTCTACATTACATACACAGTGACTCCGGGGTTGTTTATTTCTCATTCATGTAACGACACAATGACAGGGCATCAGAACAAAAATTAATGCCCACAAACTGGATGCGATTACAATGCTTAGGCGGCTGAAGTTAATGTGAGCCGCTGATAGAATCAGCTAGTACAGAAAGTTACAAG